TGAAATCACTTAAGCAGAGGCTGTAAATCTGACTGAGGATTTATTTGGTTACAAAGGTTTGATTACAAAGGCCATGATGTATTAAGCAGCTCCACTCCCACCCGGAACAGATGATTTAAAGCATTTGCATATTTAACTTCAAATTTTTGCCTCAGTTCAAAAACTGTCTTCCGTCGAATGTATAGACAATGATTGTTTTGTGTGACAGTGTAAACAAACTGACAGCTAAATGTGGGAATGGCTTTGGAGATTGATTTGATTTATTATTGTCACATGTACTGATAGCATGCAAAACAATACAATCAGGATGAATCATACCTTACATAAGAACATCAGGGTAATAGAACAGAATGTGGAATACAGTGTTACAGCTACAGAGAAGGTGCAGAGAAAGATCAACTCTAATACATGAGAGATCTGTTCATAAATCTGATAAGTGGGGCAGAAGCTGTTCTTAAATCTGTTGGTACATGTTTTCAAACTTTTGTATCTTCTACCCGATACCAGAGTGTGGAAGAGAGTCTAACTGAGGTGGGAGGGGTCTTTGATGAAATTGACTGCTTTCCTGAGTCGGCGAGGTCAGATAGGCTGACAGGATTTGCTAGTGATAAGCTTTGTCTGAAGTGTGCAATCTGAGGAGTTTTATTTTTTACCTCTCTGATCATATGCTGAAGGGGATGCCCTAGGGATGAGTAATGAACGTCGTAAGGAAATAAATAGGGTCAGGAATAGACCATTCAGACCTTTGAACCCACTCTGTCATTTAGTAGAATCATGACTGATCAATCTATTTCAACACCCCTTTCCCACTCGTTATTCCTATCTGTGGATTGTTTAATATCCAAGATTCTGTGGAGCTCCATCTTTAATATGAATCCGGAGCGGGCTGTTTCAGCCCCTCAGGCCTGCTCTCCCTTTCACTAAAATCATGGTTCATCTGATTGTACCTTAAATTCACCATCCTGTGTAATGCAGTAAGCTTTCACTCCCTTGTTAAACAAGAATCTATCTACCTCTAACTTAAAAATATTCCAAACTCTGCTTCCACCACCTTTCTTTCAGAAGACAGTTCCAAAGACACATGACCCTCCAAGAGGAGAAAAAAGTCCCTAATATCTGTTCTTGATGCGTAGTCCCTGATCTTTAAAAAGTGATCCTGGTGCCAGATTCTTCCACAATAGGATCCTCTCCATATCCACCCTGTTAAGGTCTCCACAGGATTTTCTATATTTCAATCAAGTTGCCTCTAGGGCCAAATGGTCTACATCTGTGCCTGTTTAAATGTATACAGCGCAGAATTATTTGTACAATTCCAATTGAATGTTTCTACTGAATATTTATGCCTATATGTATTGCAGAATGAAATGTTTGCTTATTTTAAGTTTTTAGCTTTAGTGAGGATGCTGTTGTTTCCCAGCCTCATAAAGAAGCAGTCCTATCATTTAGAATGAGATAACGACCAAACAATTCTGCCTAGTGCACCATTCTACAGGCTTAGTTATAAAGGGCATGGTGTTGTATTAATAGCGGATTCTATCCAGATATAGCTCTCTGTATAACTGAGCATTGTAAACTGAGTGGTGTGACATTACCTTCCAGGTTTCCTTCTTTCCCCAGTGACAGCTGCATCTGAGCAAAATGTCTGCCTTTACTGACTGCTTATTTCCCTACTTACTGTCAGCTAAAATTGTGGCTAAGTATAAAAATGTCATCTCCCAGTTTGATTCCTGACTCCTCCACCCCATGTGTTAAGGTCATTGACACCCTTGACTCTCCCATTTGCTTTGTTGTGCCTGCACCGGGGAAAGGCATTCTCTGAGCACCAGTCTGAGAGTCAAAGAGTCATACAGCGTGGAAACAGACCCTTCGGTCCGACTCATCCATGCCAGCCAGATTTCCCAAACTAATCTAGTCCCATTTGCCTGTGTTTGGCCATATCTCTCTCAACCTTTCATGTACCTGTCCAAATTTTTTTTTAAATATTGTAACTGTACCTGCACCAACCACTTCCCCTGGCAGTTCATTCCACATACAAACCACCCTGTGAGTGGAAAGTTGCCCCTCAGGTCCATTTTAAATCTTTCTCCTCGCACCTTAAAAGTATGACCTCTAGATAGTACAAACTCCCCAACCCTAGGGAAAAGAGCTTTGCTATTCAGTTTATCTATATCCCTCCTGATTTTATAAACGTGGCTTTGACAGAATAGTCATACAACATAAATGCTGGTTTCCCCCTGAATTGGTATTCTTGCAAATTGTCCTGATGAGTGCCAGACAAAAGCTGTTATGTTTTATATATGGTCATCTGTCTCCAAGCCATTTTCCACACTATCTCCATAAGCCCTTTGTCATTAGTCCTCAAAATCCAATTTCTGTCTTGAACCTGCTCAATTATTAAGCTTCCACTGTCTTCTAGGGCAGAGGATTCCAAAGATTCACCACCCTCTTAGTGAAGAAATCCCTCCTCATCTCTCTATTAAATAGTTGCTCCTCATTCTGAAATCGGTTCCTCTGGTTTAAGATTCTCGATAAGGGAAAATCCGATTCGAGTCCACCCTGTTGAGTTGTGATAGGAAGTTGAGCTCTGCTAGAGTAGTTGCTATATTTGCTGATGACACCAAGAAAGATGATTAAGTTGCGAAGAGGATATAGATAGGTTTAGTGCGTGGGGAAAGATCTGGCAAATTGAGTATCGTGTGGAATTGTCCACTTTGACATGAAAACTGAAAAGCACTTAATCTAAATGGTGAGAAGTTGCCTAGTGCTGAGGTACAGCAGCATTTGTGTGTCCCGGTACATAAATCACAAAAGGTCAGTACAGACATAGCAAGTAATTAGAAAAGCTAATGTTGTCATTCATTGCAAAGGGTATTGAATACAAAAGTAGGGAGTTACAGAGGGCACTGGTGAGGCCTCATCTGAAGTGTTCTGTGTAGTATTGGTTTCCTCCTTTAAGAAATGATGTAAATACGTTGGAAGCAGTTCAGAGAAGGTTTACTAGACTAATGCCTGTAATGGGTAGAGTGTCTTGTGAGGAAAGGATGGATAGGCTTTGGCTTGTAGATATTTTCTAATCAACCTGTTCAGAGATGTTGTTACACACCTCTGGAGCACAAGGGACTTGAACCTGAGCCTCCTGGCTTGGAGGTAGGGATGTTACCAATGCACTATATGAGCCCTCGGACTAGGATTGGATCCTTTTAAAGTTTAGAAGGATAAGAGGCAACTTGACTGAAACTTACAGGATCCTGAAAGGGCTTGGCAAGGTACAGGGAGAAAGATGTTTCCATTTGTGGGAGATCCTAGAAGTAGAATCACTGTTTAAAAATCGGGAGTCGCCCATTTAAGACAGGCTTAAGGAGAATTTTTTTCTCAGAGTTGTAAGTCTTAGGAACTCACTTCTTCAAAAGGCTGTAGAAATAGTCTTTGAATATTTTTAGGGCAGAGGTAGGTTGTGAAATCTAGTGTGAAAGGTTATTACAGGTAGGCAGGAACATGGAATAATCAGATCTGTTATGTTATTACTGAGTGACAGAGCAGGCTCGAGGGACTGATAACAAAATCCTGCTCGTAGATCATAAGTTGATATGTAACTTTCAAACAGACACCAAGGTAGGAGCTAACTAATGCAGATGCTGGAATTTTTACTGAAAACCAAAGAATGTGTTGGAAATCACAGCGGGCCAGGCAGCTTCCGTGAAGAGAGGGCAGGCTAACACTTGTTCATGTGCAAAAAGGCCCCTCCTTGTCAGATTGTTCCTCTACCCTGAGATTTCACCCCACTCCATTTACTGTCCTGTAGCTGGCTGCGGCAGGGAAGACACAGTGACTCAACTGCTTATACAGTGCATCTTTGCAAAGGAGGTCTGGATGATTTCTGTGAGGGCTCATCTCAACCTGCTCTGTGATGCAGGACTCTGCTATTTGGGCTTTTCCCAGGGATGCACTGAGGGCTGTAAACTCAGTGAATGATGATCTTTGGTTCTGGCTGAGACTTGGCACTTTCAGTGCAGAGAGCAGTCCTCTGAGCTGTTGCAGACTGGCAGGTTCCAAAGTTCAGGAAGAAATGTTGTGGAGCACTCTAAAGGTTGGGGCAGCTGCCACCGAGATTTACTGGGGAAAGGACAGTGCCTAAAGGTCTTCCTATCATTGCAAACCAAGGGGTTGGAAACACCGTAAAACCCTTGAGCTGTATGTTGTCTATAAAAGTGTTAATATAGTCTGTAATTGTGTGTGTAGTGAGCGTCTTATTGAAAGAAATATATATATATTTATTAAGCTGTATTGTACTTTGTGCAATTTTAAATTTAATGTTATGTAATTCTGAATAAAATGTGTCAGTTGAGAAAACAGAAACACATGCATTTAGCAGCCTGTACTATTGGAGTTAATGTAGATCAAGGCCCTGCTCCACAGACATCGGTCACCTCCAGGTCTCATCCTGAACAACATGAGGCACATCATTGTGGCGTAGTGGGGAGAGAGTCAGGTATTCAACAATTAGGGCATCACAGTCGAAACCAATCCTTTGCCATCCATATCACTTGTAATCAGGAATAGGAAACTGGCTTGATCGTTTTATGTGTTTATAACATACAACGCTTAAAAATATTCAGCAAGTCGGTCCATGCCTGTTGAGAGCATGGGCAAGTCAATGTCTCCTTTTGTCAGAACTAGTCTTCTCCACATCATCTGACATTGTTGCAGCCATGCTGCCATTAGTCTGGTTGAGGGTACAAACCCAGGAATTTCTCACTAACATTCTCAGCCCATGTTCCCAGGCAGCACAGCCACAATGACACGTGTGGCTGCTGTAAGTTTGTTCGGTTCCTGCATATCTTGACGTTTTGGAATCTGCAAAGACGGCTTTGAAGAAACGGCCTGGGCATGGGAATCTTCAGCAGTTTCTTCTGAAAATCCAGACTGTATTGATATTGGCAGCGAAATATCTGGCCTTTTTCCTTTTATTTTATTTTATTTTTTTGTTTTTGACAGATTTAGAACGAGGGAGGAGAAGGCTGTTAAAACACAGCCCTCATTACATGTGTGTATCATTTCAACCTCAGATTAACTGCTCTGGAGTGGTAAACAAGCAGGGCAGGATTAAAGGAGGGGCAGTGCTTTTGGCTTTTATGTTTATGTTTCCACGATGGATAGAAAAAAGGATTTCCCGAAGGTACAGTATGAATTATTACAAATCAAAATTTATTGAGCAAAGCAGCAGTCAGCTCCTTCCACTAACACAAAACTAACACTCCTTTTTCTCTAACATTGCGTCTGCTTTAAAGCTCTAACCACTCTGATCTGCTATCCAAGCGGCCAGGGGTAGCTAAGCCAAGTTCTATGTTCTGACATTACTGCAGTGTTAGGCAAGAACAGGTAAGAAAGTATTCTGTCCATGTTGAAACAGAACTGTAAACGTCAGGAAGGTTCCCACAGAATTGACCCCTCTCCCTACACAGTCAGCTGACCTCAGATTTTGGAGGTTGGGTGGGTTTTTCTTTATTGATGCTCGTGATGTGGGTGTTACTGGCTAGGCCACTACTTATGGCTCATTCATAACTGACCTTGAGAAGATTTGGAGCTGTCGTCTTGAACCACTGTAGTCCTTGGGATAAGCAATGTGCTGTTAGGAAGGGAATTCCAAGATTTTGACCCAGTAACAAAGAAGGAACAGCAGCAAATGGGACTAGATTAATTTAGGATATCTGGTCGGCATGGACATGTTGGACCGAGGGGTCTGTTCCTGTGCCGTACGTCTCTATGATTCTAGGTCAGGATGGTGAATGACTTGGAGGGGAACTTGAAGGTGGTGTTCCCCTGTATCTGTTGCCCTTGACCTTCCCAGTATTATTGGTCATGGGTTTCAAGGGTGCTGTGAAAAGAGCATTGCTGAGTTGCTCCAGTGCAACTTGTAGATGGTAGACACTGCTGCTATCGTGCCTCCATGGTGGAGGGAGTGAATACTGAAGGTATCAGATGGGGAGCTGAACGTATATCATTTGCATTGTCCTGAAATATGTCAAGTTTCTTGAGTGTTATTGGAACATCCATGCAGGCAAGTGGAGAGTATTCCATCACACTCCTGAATTAAGATTTGTAAATGGTGGTCATTTTTTGAGGACTTGAGAAGTGAGTTGCTCGCCTCAGAATTCCTAATCTGACCTGCTCTTGCAACAACAGTATTTAAATGGTTAAAATAAAACAAAGAACTGCAGATGCTGGAAATCTGAAACAAAATCAGAAATTGTTGGTGAAACTTAGCAGATCTGCAGCATCTGTGCAGAGAAAGCAGAGATAATGTTACAAGTCCTCTGACCCATCTTCAGAACCTTTGTCCACAGATGCTACCAAATCTGCTGAGTTTCTCCAGCAATTTCTGATTTTGTTATTTATATGGCTAGTCCAAATCAGTTTCTGGTCAATGGTAACCCTCGAAGAAGCTAATAGTGGGGAATTCAGTGATAATAATGTCATTTAATGTCATGGAGTAATGGTTAGATTCTGTCTTTTTGGATGTGGTCATTATCTGGTACTTGTGTGGTATGAATGTTACTTGCCATTGAATAAGCTCAAGTCTGGATGTTGTCCACGTCTTACTACATTTTAACACCAACTGCTTCAGTATTTGAGAAGTCATGAACACTCCTGAACATTGTACAGTCAGTGAATATTCCCACTTCTGACCTCATGGTCAGAAAGTCATTGAAGCAGCTGAAGATGGTTGGGCCAAGGAACGGTGTCCTGAGGAACTAAGGTTCTTGTGCAGTGCTAGTGTCCTGTGCTCACTCAAGGAATCCACTCCCAATCACTGTCTGGTGACCTTTGTTGGAAAATAATTGTGTGGATCTTTTTTATTTATTTGTTCTTGGGATGGGGGCAAGGCTGACATTTATTGCACATCCTTAGTTGCCTTAGAAAAGGTGATGGCAAGCTTGATTTTCAGTCCATGTGGTGTAGGGACACCCACCGATATGGAAGGAGTTCCAAGAGCTTGACCCAGCAACAATGAAGGAGTGCCAAAATATTTCCAAATGTGGATGGTGTGGGATTTGGAGGGGGAACTTGCAGATCATGGTGTTCCCATGTTTCTGTTGCCCTTGCCTTTCTAAATAGTAGATGTGCAGATTTGCAAGATGATGGCAAAGAAGATTTGGATTTGGCTGTGATACCAGTATGGTTGAATAACTCAACAACAATCAACATCTGGATTCGAGTGAAGAATAGCCATATGGATGAGTCTCTGGTGGGGGAAGAAATGAGGCAATTTATGTTTAACTGCTGACTCAAGTCACCCTGATTTTCCTTCCTTGTAATGGTGCCCATCACAGAGTACTCAGCAATGTCTGCTTTGCTGTCAAGGCTGAATCCTGGTGAGAGTTCAGTGGAGGTGGCTTAAGATCAACTTGGCTTTCCTTCATTTAGTCCCTTGTGACTGTGGGCTCTTTGAATGAGCTAAAAACAATTTCTGCCCCTTCACCACACCCTCACCAGCACATCAGTACCTCTGAGAAGGTCAGCAAACCACATGCAAGTCGCCCTTCCTGTTTATCTGGAAGGTGTTTGAAATAACAGTTTTACACTCCATAAGGTACATTCCTGTTCTAGAATGTCCGTGATAGGAGCTTCTCATTGACTGCAACCTTTCAATGTAAAATCAGAATGTACGTGCAGCCCTCATTTTGCAGCAGAGGATTCATTGTATACAATTTTTTTTTTAATTTGTTCATGGAATGTGAGCATCATTGGCTAGGCCAGCAATTGTTGCCCATTCAACAGTTGCCGACAGTTGAGAGTCAACCAAATTTGCTATGAGTTTGGAGTCACATATAGGCCAGACCAGGTAAGGGCAGCAGATCTCCTTGTCTTAAAGGACATTAATGAGTCAGAGATAACAAGGTGTAGAGCTGGATGAACACAGCATGCCAAGCAGCATTTACAACAATCGATGGTGATTAACATGGTTGTAATTAGGCTAGCTTTTTATTCCAGATTCTTATCAAATTCAACATTTTGGGATTCAAATCCATGTCCCAAGAAAATTGACCTGGGAGTCTGGATTACTGGTACATTAGCACTATGTTTCCACTTCCTCTGAATAGTGTTGTAAGGGATATAACCTTGTGGAAGAGGATAGCAATACCATCAGTTAAGAGGTTTCCTTGTAAAAGGCAAGGTTTTAGTATGTTTAATTCTTTAAGAATCTTTAATTCTTTATTTTATCTTTCCTGTTTTCTGCTCTCTCATGGGTGTTTACTATGTGTTACCATGCTGGTTATGAGGTACAATGTTTACTGAAATGTACAATAAAATGAAACCGGACATCTTGCTGACTGGGCCTTTATGGTTCAATGGTGGGAGCCAGTCATTGCACTGTGCAACGGCCATTGCCAATGACAAAGAGCTAATTTGCAGAAATCCAAATAAAAAGAACACAAATCCTGCCAAGTGTATTTTGTAAAGAGGACTCTGGGCTGCAGGTTGTTTGAGGATCTTGCGCTGAAGCTGAGTTATGGACACATCCTGTCCCATTATGACTCTGTTAGCCAAGGTCTACCACTCTATAATCTTTGTGCTTGTCCAATTCTGGCCCCTTGGGTGCTAATTTTAATCACTCTACCATTGGCAGCCAGGCCTTCAGCTCTGGAATTCCCTCACTAAATTTCATCCTCTCCCTCCTCTTTTAAGGCAATATTCAAAAGCTAAATCATTGACCTGTCTTAATGTCCCCATGTACGTTGATGTTAAATTATATTGTTGACACTCCTGTGAAGAGCCTTGAGATACTTTGCTGCATGAAAGGCCCATGCAAGTTGTTGTTAATTTGCTACCAATTCATAAACAATTCTTTTTATTATATTTAGCTCCGGTTCACCTCATTGAAGTCTGGCTGTTTGGTGAGGCCTGTAGCTCCCACAAAGCTATCCGGACGGTATCTTGCCCATCAGAAATCTTTGCCTCGGCTGCCAGTTCCTCCTCTCCAACAGACTCTCGAACGTTACCTGCTGGCCTTGGAGCCCATTGTAAGCCAAGAGGAGTTAGAAAATACGAAACAGATTGTGAAAGAATTTGGTCAAAAGGGTGGAGTAGGCGAGAGGCTTCAAGCAAGCTTGGAAAGACGAGCAAGGAAAACTGAAAACTGGGTATGATTCTGCTTTCTGGGCTATTGTTCTTTTTCAGACTGACTGACAGGTGTGCCCAAATGGTGGGGACAGAGTAAGCTGTTGCTCACAAGATTTGAGACAAACATCTCAGCAATTCAAGAAAGCAGCTCGCTGTCACGTTCTCAAGGGCAATAAGTGTTGGGCAGTAGATGCTAGCCCAGTCAGCAATGCCCAGATCCCATGAATGATTTTCTTTTAAAGCCAGTTGAGTATAGCTGAATATATGCAGTTGTGTAAAACTAACCACACTGTCCACATACAGCAGAAAAGGAGGCTGTTTGGCCCATTATACCTGTGCTGGCACTTAGAAAATATTAAAATTAGCCCCCAGCTCCACTGGCCACAGTTTTGCCCACAGTTCTGAAACTTTCTTCTACTCTGCATTATGACTTCATGGTCATGTTGGAAGAAATGCCTTACCCTAATTGGCTGTGGCAGTGGTTCTGCTCATTGAACGTTGTCGGTGGGATCTGTTCCTGATCTCATTGTTGCCGTCTACAGCTGTAAACCATTCAAATGGGCATCAGTAATGTGTGCGAGGGGCGGGGTGGAGTGGGGTGGGCTGGGGGGACCACAACACTGCTTTAGTGAAGGAGGTGACTATGTTGGGGAGGCAGTAACAAGCACACATTCCTCAAGAATATTCAACCAGGGAGATGCTTATTATGGGATGGGCTTTTTAAAGGAAGGTGAGTTGTGAGACAGGCTTCAGAGATCAGTGTTTGATGCAGCAGTCTGAAGACTACAAGAGAAAATCACTACGCAGTGGCCCATTGGTTTTGTCACTGGACTGGTCATCTGGGGACCTGGCTTCAAATCCTACCGTGGCAGATGGTGGCATGGGCAATGGATACTAGCTTAGCCAGTGAGGTCCACATCCCATGAATGAATTTTCAAAAACAAACGCTCTGTCAATGTGTGATTGTGCAGTGCTGAATGTGCCAGCCACCTAATCCAAGCTCCAAAAGCAGCATTGGAATATGGCCTCATGTTCTCTGGCACCGTATGGATGCAATTACACATCCTGCTTGTTCTTATTCTATATAGAATTTTATAGAATCCCTACAGCGTGGAAACAGGCTCTTCAGCCCAACAAGTCCACACCGACTCTCAGAGCATCCCACCCAGACCCGTCACCCTAATCCACACATCCCTAAACACTACGGGCAATTTAGCATGGCCAATCCACCCTAACCTGCACATCTTTGGACTGTGGGAGGAAACTGGAGCACCTGGAGGAAACCCACGCAGACACAGGGAGAATGTGCAAACTACACACAGACAGTCACCCGAGGGTGGAATTGAACCCGGGTCCCTGGCGCTGTGAGGCAGCAGTGCTAACCACTGTGCCACCGTGTCACCCTTGTCTGTCTTTCATGGTAGATTGTGCACTCCCAGTGCATCAGTCCACAACACGACATGGGATAGAGTCATTTATTTTTTTCCCTCAGAAAGCCATGCAATAAAGGGGTAGAAGTGGAGCTAACCTTTTACACACACACACTTTTTTTAAAATCGGCTTTTAATTTTCCAAATGCACATTACTCAAGAGGCCTACATCAGCTCCTAATTTGTACGTTCATATGCCGTTCACACTAATGTCATTCTTCTCCCCACCCCCACCAATAGAGCCCAAATCCCCAAAGTTTTCCTGTGAAAGCTCTGGTGTTATTTTCAAATGATAAGATGTCCGAGTAATGGGGTTCACGGGTAAAAGAGGTTAATGAACAATGGCTGGAGCAGGGAAACTTCGGATGTCCTAAAAACTGGTCCAGGGTTTTTAATAGTGTGTTCGCGTGCCGAGGCTGTGTCTCCCTGGATTCATTTTTTGAGAACATGACCACCGAAGGCTGGAGTTGGAACCCAACTTTGCTATGAACCTCTTCTCTTGATCGCCTTCTACCACAAAGCTTGTATGTGTGCATCAGGCAGTGCTCAGCAGCAACTATCCACAGGCTGGTCTAGCTAATTCCTGTTTCCTGCCTGGATTCTCATGTGATAATCGTTTCTCAAAGCTCACCTTATCTCTTGTCTGTCCTGTGCAGCTCTGTGATTGGTGGTTAAGGACGGCCTATCTGGAATACAGGCTTCCCGTGGTAATCCATTCCAGTCCTGGTGTACTGCTACCGAAGCAGGATTACTATGACCGTCAGGGGCAGCTCAGGTAATGGTCAAGCAGTACTAAATTCATCTTAAATTAGCCAGGGCTGGTGCTAATGGAAAAAAAAACAAAGCTCCAGTCCTCAGTGTTCTTCGCATTCTCTACTGGAAAGTCTCTGTTGAATAACACAGCTCGAAAGATGCTATTCAACCCATCAAGCTGGCTCTCTGAAAGAGCTATCCAATTAGTCCCACTCCTCTGCTCTTTCCTCATAGCCCTGAAAATTGTTTTATTAAAGTATTTCACCAATTCCCTTTGGAACGTTCCTATTGAATCAGCTTCCACTGCCCTTTCAGGCAGCATGTTCTATATCACCACAACTCACTGTGTAATGGTTTTCTTCTCATGCTGACTCTGATTCTTATACTGGTTATCATAAATCTATGTGCTCTGGGAACTAACCTTTCCACCAGCAGAAATAGTGAAGGAGGGGTTGGGACATATCAGACTAGCTCCGATGTCACCTCTACTTCTGTTCATCCTGTCTTCAGCAGCTGGGATTTTCCAAGCTTGAATTCTAATTCATATTAGCTCCTCGTGTTTCACGTTCATATGTTCCCTGGAGCTCATTGATAAAGTGATTACTGTATCAGAATTCAACTGTGCATTTCGGAACAGTGCTCCATCCAAACCCTCCCCAGCATCTTGCCAGTGCTGAGGACACGGATTTCACCCAGAGATCTACAGTTATCCTCCATCCTCCACACTGGACTGGGAGGAAGAATATACGAAAGCTTCTGGTTTTTGTTCAGAAATTTTGCCTCCACTCCCAACCATTGAACAATGACAGCTTGCTTTATATAGCAGCTCTGCCATAGTAAAATGTCCCAATAATTCAACATTTGGCACCATATGAGAGCAATAGCCAAACCTCAGGGCGAAAGGGTAGATTTTAGGGAGCTTCACATACTGTGCAGTCTCTTCTATACCATCTGTCTCTGCGATTGCTCTGTCTTCAAAGTCAGAAGTCACATGACACCAGGTTATAATCCAACAAGTTTATTTGAATCATAAGCTTTTGGAGCATAGCACCTTGGTCAGGTGAAGTGAGAGAGAAGAATCCAACAAGTTTATTTGAATCATAAGCTTTTGGAGCATAGCACCTTGGTCAGGTGAAGTGAGAGAGAAGAGCACACATACAGAATTTATAGGCAGAGAGATCAAAAGATCATACAAATGATGTGTCTGGAGTATTGAGTAATAAATCTCTGAAGGTGACCAAGAGTGTTAGATGGTGTGAGTAGAATGTCAACAGCTGAATAACAAGTGAAGGAATGACCTATAATCTGATCAAATGAGGTAGAGAGATAATTACAAAATTAAAAATAAGGTGGTGCTGGAGACAAACCAGTGGCTGGAATAACATGATAGGTACAACAGTCACATGCTGAGAGTCTAACCAAAGTAATAAGTAATTCAAAACTGTACAAACTAATTAAGATAGAGAGATCATAATTTAATCAAGGTGGGGGTGTCATAACAGGACAGTAAGGAAGATTTTACAGATACAGAACAGTGCGATGGGGTTACATATAGCTCAACAGGAACCCAAGATCGCAGTTGAGGCTGTCTTCATGGGTACGGAACTTGGCTATCAGTTTCTGCTTGGTGATTCTACATTGTTGTGTATTTTGAAGGCCGCCTTGGAGGACGCTTACCCAAAGATTGGAGGCTGAACATCTTTTGACAGCTGAAAATGTTCCCCGACTGGAAGGGAACATTCATGTTACGCAGTGTCCATTCATCCATTGCCGTAGTTTTCCTAATATACCATACCTCAGAGCATCCTTGCTGGCAGCATTTGAGATAGACAACATTGGCCAAGTCACATCAATATCTGCCGTGCACATGATGGGTGGTGTTCCCACGTGTGATGGTAGTATCCATAACAAATGATCTGACATGTCTTGCAGAGGTTGCCATGTTCTTCGCAGCCTTCAACATTGTCATCGATGATGATGAACATCTCGCTGAGATCATCCCTACACCTCTACTTCTTGCCTTCAAAACGCTAAATCTTAAACAGACCATCATTCGCAGCACACTACCCAACCTTAGGACAACATCGACCACACAACCCTGCCGTGGCAATCTCTGCAAGACATGTCAGATCATTTGTTATGGATACTACCATCACACGTGGGAACACCACCCACCATGTGCACAGCAGATGTTGATGTGACTTGGCCAATGTTGTCTATCTCATACAGCATGCGACTTTTATACCTATCATGTTATTCCAGCCACTTGTTTTGTCTCCAGCACCACCTTATTTTTAATTTTTTGTAATTGTCTCTCTGCCTCATTAAATTGGATTATAGGTCATTCCTTCACTTGTTATTCAGCTGTTGATGCTTTACTCACACCATCTAACACTCTTGGTCACCTGCAGAGACTTATTATTCGACACTCCACTCACACCGTTTGTATGATCTTTGGATCTCTCTGTCCTTTGATCCCTCTGCGTATAAACTCTGTGTCTGTGTGCTTCTCTCACACTTCACCTGATGAATGAGCAGTGCTCTGAAAACTTGTGTTTTCAAATAAACCTATTGGACCTGGTGTCGTGTGATTTCTGACTTTATCCACCCCAGTCCAACACAAGCACGTCCACATCATGGTTCTGTCTTCACGTTACGCTGTCTCTCTAGCCACACTTTATTGTCTTCCTACTTTTATCTTATTCCTCTTTCTTTCTATCCCCTTGTATGGAACTTCTCATTCTGTGTCCTTATCTTGCTGTGGTTTAGTAATCTGTTCCACTCCTCCTGTGGCTCAGTTTCCACCCCAACCTTTGTACAGGGTAAACTTTACCTCAGAAATGTGAACAATGCCAGACAGCTGCTTTTGATACCAGCTTGTGTTCAACCTGGTGTTATTTGGAGCTAGTTCTCTCACTCTTTCACCCTTCACTATGTATCGCTGTATTTTTCTCTGAATGGGTTAAGTTTCCCTGCTGTTCCCGGGCGAAGACAATCCCATATGTCATCCCTGATGTTCAGATTGCTGTTACTCTGTCTCCAACCATGTTACCTTCTCCTTTGTCAGTGACTTGAGTGTGATGGCTTTATTAGTACAGAGATACTGTCAGCATCCCCAACACCACCTCAGCTCTGACATGCACCACTGTTCCCTTTTTCTCAAGTTGCCAAGTGTCCAGGATTCTCCTGTAGTAACCAGAATGAACAAAGTGATCTCCGGGACGCTACTAAAGCAGTTCTGGTAGAACAAGTGCAAGAGCACTTCAAAGATGAAGTTTTTTTTTCAAAAAAAGTAAAGATGAAGGATATAGCATTCAGAAGAGAAAAATTGGAAAGAAAATACTTGAGGCTGTTTGAGTGGAACTCATTGAAGTCATTGTTAATTCCCAGTGGGTAAACCATGTGAAAATAATCAGATTATGGAATGATAACTCCTCTCCCCGCCATAAAAAAAATCAATAAAAGAAGAAATTACCAACAGAATTTCACTGTTTGTAACTTTTACTTTGTTATTACTTTTATTAGAACCAAAATAAATTACTTGTAAAGTGGCAAGTAATACTTTAAATAAAATGGTAGATTACATTTTTAAATCATTAGTACAACAAAATAACAACCTTTAAATACCAGGAGCACCTATATCACAGTCAGTGCTATGGGTGCACAGCTCATGCTGTTTTAAAGTTTTCTAAGTCCTTTAGAATGTAGGATATCTCATTTCCCTACTAAATCAAGCCAGCCCTCGAATCACGTTACCCAGCAACTTTATTCCATCTGAGACCCCTGGATACAGTTAGCACCAACAAGCCACACATCTTCAAACTCTCTCTCACTTGGTTCACATCCTGATGTCCTAATTTTCCAAGTTCCTTTTCAATAATTCAGTCATTGATTTTCCCCCACTATTGACATCGTGGGGGTTTCCACTGACCAGTGTCTAAACTAGATTCTCCACGTAAACACAGCGGCTACAAGAGCAGGTCAGAAGCTTGGAATCCTGCAGTGAGTAACTCACTTCCTGACTCCCCAAAGCCTGTCCACCATCTACAAGGCACAAGTCAGGAGTGTGATGGAATACTCTCCAGCCCCAACAACACTCAAGAAGCTTGACACCATCCAGGATGCGACAGCTTGCTTGATATTGTATCTTTAAACATCACCACTGCCACTGAGGAACAGCAGTGTGCATCATCGACAAGATGCAGTGCAGAGATTCAACAAGGTTTCTGAGATAGGTTTTTGACACAGTGACAGCGAAGGAACAGCGATATATTTCCAAGTCAGGATGGTGAATGACTCAGGGGGGGACTTCAGGGGGTGGTGTTTCCATATATCTGCTGCCCTTGTCCTTCTAGATGGAAGTGGTCATGGGTTTGGAAGGCATTGTCTCGGAAACAAAAACAGAAGTTGCTGGAAAAGCTCAGCAGGTCTGAGGAAGGGTCACCGGTCCTGAAACGTTAACTCTGATTTTTTCTTCACAGATGCTGCCAGACCTGCTGAACTTTTCCAGCAACTTCTGTTTTTGTTTCTGAGACAGTGCCTTCCTAATCCACAACCACTTCCATCTAGAAGGACAAGGGCAGCAGATACATGGGAACACCACCCCCTGCTAGTTACCCTCCAAGTCATTCACCATCCTGACTTGGGAATATATATCCCTGTTACTTCACTGTTGCTGGGTCAAAATCCTGGAATTCCCTCCCTAACAGCATTGTTGGACTACCAACAGCACATGGAC